AGACAAGAAGACAGATGGACAGATAGATTGACAAGCTTCGTCAGCTAGCACAGGGCTAGACTGTACCTAAGGAAGGCAACGTGTGCCCACCTTCCTGTGAAGGGTGCAGGCCAGTGGCGATGGTGTAATGGTTATGGTTCAATAGTGCCACCAGGGGACTGAGCTGTCCCTCCTCTAGAAATCACCAAGAGTATCCCAAGAAGCAGTGCAAATCCTGCCTCTGCTAAATTCATCACAGCACATGTCCTGACAGAAGATGATCAAGACATCCATCCACCCACCTACCTGTTGTCTATCTTTTCTCCTTCCTCCCTCAGTCTATCTATCTGTCTGTCTATCTCTTTCCTGGGATTGTTGCTAAACTTTTGTTTCAGGTTTGGAAGAATTGGCATTGTTCTCAGAACCTGTGTACCTGTGCATTTGTTTAGATCTTTAACATCTCTCAACAAAATCAGGCAGGAGGAGAGATGGACAGCTAACAGGGTGAGCCATACTTCATACCAGGCAGGAAACAATGATCCTGTGAGTGCTGGGCAGGGGCAGAGCAAAGGCTCTGGGGCAGGAGCATGCCTAGGGCTCCAGTGGAAGGAACTGGACTGGAGGCCTGAAAGAGGGCAGTGATGGTGACATTAGATGGCATTAGGGTCCAGATCCTAAGGAGCTTTTTGCAGCTGCAGCTAGGACTTCAGCCAGGGGAAGGCTCTGTCCTGTGAATCCAGTCTGGTGGGTGTGGACTGTCACAGTATCCTTGGCTTTTGGGCATGGCGCCGTGACCCAGCAACTCAGATGAGCCATAAAGTGCTTTCTTTAAGTGAAATCAACTTCCCCACTCACTGAGGAGAGCATCAGGCACTCAAGTTGCTGGCATCTGCAATACAGCAAAGAGAGACATTGAGCTCTGTAGCTTTTGCTATATACTCAGAGCCTGGTACTCAACTGCTTTGAAACGCATTGAATTTGGCACTTGACACAAAAGTTTTGTCTTGATACTCATAGCTTCTTTGCTACTTGATGCTCAAACTAGAACTCATTATCAATGGCCTGATGTCATAAACAGCTCATGTGGTCCTTGCTATGTTAGGTGCTTGTCGTGCTTCCTGGAATAAATACCAGTGAGTACAGAGGTTCCACGGTAATGTTTGCTGTAACTGCTGTTTCATTGTGGTCATCGTTGTCCATCTCTTACTGTGTCCATTTATAGTGGAACCTCTTTATAGGTGCATGCATGAAGGGACAACACACAGTGCACGGTGCCCAACACTACCAGCAGTTTCTGGGATCAGTCTGGTGTCTGGGCCTGCACCCCCATGCCAGGGGGTCACAGGCGCCAGAGGCTCACCGGCTCACACGTGAAACTTCCAGAACCACCCCATCGTACCTCATTCCACAATGTGTTCTAAGTGCCAGGTTCTAAAGTGAGTTTTAGATTCAATTCTGGCCATCAAAGTGAGAAACTGGGGCAGATCCTGGGGAAATGTGGCCACCACCAGATGTGGTCGGTCCCTGGGGCTCAAGAGGAAGGTGTGATGAACGGCTGCAAAAGGGAGGACCCAAAGGCACTGGGGTCTCAGGAGCCACATAGGTCTCCTCCTGCAGGTAGGTGTGCTTACCTAGGCCCTAGGTATGCTGCCTCTCCTGGTCACCTCTCTGTGACCACCTTGTGTCCTAATGTAGAAAAGGAAGAGCGGGACCAGATGTGATGATAGAGAGCCTTTTGGGAGGATCACCAAGAATTTGAGGCCATCCTGGGCTCCATGGTGAGTTCAAGGCCAGCCTGAACTGCATAGTAAGACCCTATCTCAAAAAATGAAAGCAAGCAAAAAGAAAAGGAAGAGTGGAAAGAGACTGGGGCCCTAGGTGATGAGTTAGCCTCCACCTTGGTCCCTCTCCCCTTAGCAAGGCTGCCTTTCCAGGCTACGGGCACCCTCTGCACACCAAGGAAAAAGGAGATTGACCCGAGCCACCTCCTGCAAGGTCAAGTCAAGGCACAGGGCAGGGGCCATGCTGATACCCACCTCACCCAAGTAATGACTGACTCTGCTGGCCAGACTTGGTATGGAGATGCGCAGGGTGCATGGGGTGACCAACTGAGCAGGGGCCCACCAGGCGACAGGGCCAGCCTCGGGCCCTCCCTGCACACTGCAACTCCGAAGCAGCAAAGCCATTAAGTTGTTCCATTGTCATTTAGGTCACAGAGGAGACCTCTGCACACTCCTTCAGGTTAGAATAGTAGGGCCAGAGAGGGGAGGCAAAACCATTCCACTGAGCTGCGTGCTTAATTATATGGAATGCTGCATAAATTGTCAAGTGCAAAGAATTATTCTGATAAATTAAAATACTAATTAAATAGGCTATTGCAGAATTTTGAGAACATTACAGGGTTCCGCTTCTTCAGGTAATTTGCATATCCTTCATCTAGTGAATTTAATTTTAAAAGACTTCTTTTTTGTGTTTAGAGGCCTTTTTGTCTCCCGGGAAAGTAACAATGGGCTTCCCACATTGTTCTCTGCCTTCCTTGAAGCAGTGTCCTGCTGTCCCAGCCTGGGCTGCTGGTCTCTACTCATACTCTAACCTAACGTCCAGAACTTGCCTAAAAAATAACTTGGAACTGAAATTTGAACATTTACTGGACAAGATTTTTCTTTTTCTACTTCTAAGTGTGTGTCAGCAGAGACCTAGCACCGGTGATATTGTCCTGGATTGACAAACAGAAGGGAAGTGACCGGGCACTTCCTGGCCAGCCTGGGACATGCACGGCAGGACCTTACCAGGGGCAGCCCTGTCTCCAGGTTCCGAGGAGCCATGGCATGGAGACAGGTGCATCCTGCCATTCACTCCAGGGCACTTGCTTTGTGGTTGCTTGGGATAACATGTGTTGCCTGGGTTAAGCTCTCTCAGACTCAACACAGATCACTCTTCGGGCATGTCAAGACACTTTGGGAATAAACAGGTGCTATGGCTTGTGTCTAGCTGTCCCCTCAAAGCTTCATGCAGTCTTACTGCTTTTTCAGAGGTGGCAAGATCTAGAGTGTGTGACACTGGGGTTAGGGGTGTATAGTTAGTAAATCAGTCCACTGATTGATTTGGCATAGTTCTGGCCACGATTAAGGATGTACGCACTATACCCCCGCTAGGGTGCATAGCCTCCATGCAATACACGGGACACAAAGAGTCTTGTCTCTCCCTAGTTGCTTTTGCTATCTTGTGGGTACCATGAATTGTTCTCTGCAAAGTCACCCTGCCTTGAAGCCAGCCAATTATGGACTAAAACAAACTGTGATCTAAATAAACCTTTCTTTCCTCCTCTAACTTTGGGTGTTGGGTGTTCTGTCTCAGGGACCAGAGGAAAGGAACTAAAATAGCAGGTGAACGGATTCCTAGCACACACTCGCATTCAGAGCTCTCTCCTCACTGCTCCGGAGCACCATGCCAACGCATTTCCTACAACAGGTCCCTGGAGCACAGCGGTGACAAAATGGTGTTCCTTATAGTCCTCATCACTAGTCTACAAGATCAGCTCCCAGCAGCTGTGTCCAGTGGCCAGGGCACCTTCCAGAGCTGGCCAGCCTCCATGGCCTTGTTGGAAGATGCAGTCTCCTTCTGGGAATAGTTTTACAGAACATAAAATGCATCCCCCGGGTGTGCCACGCTGTTCAGTGTGTGCCTTGGACCACCTATGGGACAAGGCAGAGGAGCCAGGGAGCAGGGACTGCCACACCTGAGCCACTCACTGTCTGACCCTTTCTAGAAAAGATTGCTGGCCCCTAAGCTGGGCTGGTCTACTTGGTTATCAATTGGAAGGTTTTTTACTATTCCTGACCCTGAAATCTCACTGCTCGGTTACAAAGACTGCCACAGTTTTAATTCCATTTTTATGCACGTGTTCCTCAACCTGCTCGAACAGGTTCACTGTTCTCCCAGCCCCAGGCAGCTTGCCACTCAGTAAAGTTTACAGGAGACCACTGAAAGGATTGCTTTATGTTCTGTGTCTTCACCACAGTCTGCGCCTGGGCCACTCTCCCTGCCCTCTCGAGGCGTCTCCAGCCCTTCGCTGCAGCCGGCTCGACTTTCGGTTGCCTCACTTTCGGAGAAGCCTTACTTCCTTGTGTAAAAATAACGCCTGTAGTTCAAAGGGGAAACTTCCAGGAGATAATGGAAAGTCTGGAAGGTGGGATGCCAGCCTGGGTCGGGGGCTCATGTGTGTCTCTCTGAAAGATATTTCATTACCAGGGATTAATGTAGGAGTAAGACAGTAAGAGCTGAAGTGATTGCTGCTTTCTCGCTTTTTCCTTCCACATTAATCACAATCACAATGCACTCTTCATGGGGTTTGCAATACAATTCTATTTTTCCTGGTTTTCATTTCCAAAGTGGCTTTATCCAATATGGAATTTATCCAAAAGGATATTCCCACAGAATTATAAGCTAGAGTCAGTTGCCTGGTGACACACTCCTGTCTATGAAGTCGCTCCACACAGGACCCTGCAGTGTCACTGACACCACCCATCATTTGTAAGGCTCACTCTCGCAAGTCATCTTCTGGAGTCTTCTTCATTCGACGTTGGTAGAAAACTGGAATGAGGCTTTTACCAGAGTGAGTGAGGCTGCTTCCTGAAGGGGCAGGAGGAAGGGGAATCAAAACTCCAGCGCTGATAGCAGAATTCCAGCTCTGCCTCCAGGGGCATCCTTCGTCAACATGGAATGTTAATTAATCAGCCGCTGCTTCCCAGGGACTGGGTAATGACCATCACTACATCATTCACGGTTTTCAAAGCGCAGTCGCCTATACTTCCTCAGCAGCCCTGGTGTGGCGTCATGCTGTGACTGAGACCACTGGCGCACAGGACGGGGCTAGGCAGGACACCAGGCTCTTGTCACCAGGATGGCCTTGCTGAAGCAGCCATGTGGGCAATGACTTCCTGTTTGGGGTGCTTGTGCACTTGTGCCTGGAGATCCACACCCTCCCCACAATGACCCTTGCTTCTTCATTTTCCCAACAGCTGACCACAGGAACCAACTGGAGGAGGCTTCTGGACTGAGGATCCTTCAGAGCGGGACCGGGCCGGTGAGTAGTGTGAGGGAGGCCTCACGTGTGTGTCCATGACGGCGTCCTATTCAGGTGGCATCTCAGTGTCAGGTGGCTCGCGGCTGACTTCAGGAGCAGTGGTTGATGTGGTGCATACTCCTGTTGCTGTGGATTCTGGCTAAGGGTGCTGCAGATTTGATGCTTTAGGTGGTCTTTGAGATTCGGATCTGGTGTCTCCCCTTGAAAGATGAATAGCAACGAAGCAGTGTAGAGATGTGTTTGGAAGACACACGCTACTCAGTCAGCTGTTTTGCAGGTGCTGAGTTGATGGGAGAGGTCCAGGGAAATGCTCCCTTTCTCCTGGGTGGGAGAGGGCAGACAAAGGTAGAAAAGAAACAGTGCCCCCATGATGCAGTTGCCCGTCCTCAGCCCGGTCATGTCCACGTGTTCTTGACCACACGCTACCACCATCGAGGCCACCAGTACACAGCTGCAGCCGCCATTGAGACCATACCCCCAGTTGTGTGATAACTGAATGACCTGTCCTTAGAACTGAGATGACTCCTCTTGGAAGAAGCATGTGGTCACTTGTAAGTCAGCATGGACCAAAGCAATGTGCCACCGTGCTTGAAATTTCACTGTACACACCATTCAAGATAATTAGCTATTGAGGAAGGCTTATTATGTGGGCGCCTCTCTGTGTGGCAGCAATGTTCTTGCTGAGCCACTTAAAGATGAACCGCTGCTTTGGGGCTGTCTCCTTCCCTCAGTTCTGGTCTTTAGAGCTTGAGAGGAGAACTTGCTAAATCAGTCACTGTACTCAAATGAGCGTGCATGTTGGGTGCACTCGTTGAGAGCAGCAGCTGGAGAGGATGCGCGTTGAGACTGACGGGATGAGGACAGCACCAGTGACTGGTGAGAACTTTGCAAAGACTCCTGAGAGTCTGAGAGATGCCAGAATCCATAGCGCCAGCCCAGGTTAATGGAACGTTTCACCGCTGTGCGTCCTGGTGTGCCTGTTAGCTTGCTGTCTTCAGCACTAGCACGGGGAGAGGGAGGGTCTAAGCATCTTAGGGGTCAAGAGTATCATCCTTATCCATAGGAAGGGTGGTGACTGATGGCAGCAAGGGCCACCTTGCAGCTGGTCAACAGGGGAAGGGCCGGTTCCGTTGCCATCATCGTGGACAGGATTTTTGCCCATTTCCCCCTTTGCTTGCTGGCCCAGCAGAAAAACTTCTGGGTTCAAGAGTAGTGTACCCCAAGATTGGGGGCAAACTCAGGTGAAAATGGGCTGATTTTATCAGTGTCACCCTGTTTGGGAAAGGCCAAAACCATGGGTGCATCAGGACCTCTCAGGAAGTGTGCTCTCTAGGAGGGACTAGACTCGTGGTTTCTTTTTAGTCCTGATGTCTTCTGTAGGGAGGTGTGGTCCTGAGTTAACAAGTAAGAAGCTTTGTATTTTCTCCCCATGTCTCAGCACCCACCCCTGCATTAGCTTCCCACCTTGAAGTTTCTGCACAACCTAGCATGAGCTGCAGGTCTGGTTCATCTCCTCTGCCCTCCGCACAGGCAAGGGCTTTAGTCCCAGTCCCCATTTTCAGGTGAAGCAGTGAGGCAGCTTGTAAGGTCCGAGGCTTAATGTGGGGTCTCGGTGTCAACTCCCCCCTCCACCCCCACAACTATAGGCACCGTCCACATGTGCATCCAGGGACCCGAGCCCCAGGTCCTCACTCTCCATCTCTCTTCAGCTGGGCCTGTGCTCTTGGAGATGCACTGTGTTTCCTCCTTTGTCTCCACACAGTTTGAGAGGGGGTCCCACTCTCATCAGTTTACCACCCCATTCATTGTTTCATTCCGTCAATCCTCACTGTGGCAGCTGTGAAATATTAAAGCCACAACTGAGAGCAACGGAGCAGACTCCTGAACTCAGGGAGTGTCCACCCCCGTGAACCTGCTTTGAGCCCACTTGACATCTTGTGGGTCCCTACCTGTGTGGACTTTCTCTCCGGTCTTTGAGACCCACGTCTCTTGGGTCTCATCTTCTGTCTTGAAGCCCTGACCATGACCACTTGTCTGTGCACTCTGTACAACCTCTCCTTCCAATTGCTACCTTTTATCCTTTGTCAGTGAGCACCGAGCCGACTCAGCGCTCTCAGGAACCACTGTGCTTTATTGCAGACATGTGTCTTCACCTGCCTCCCTCCTAGCCTGTGACCTTGGTGGCATTTTATGGCAGGAAAAACCTGTTTGCTACCTCCACCAGCTACACAGGAAGAACACACTCCCTCCCCTCCTCCCCCTCCTCCTCCTCCTCAGCAGTGAATGGGGCACCAGTCAGCCACCCCCTTCTGTCATGGTTGGACGCCTTCCTCACTGAATTATTGCTGTCAGAAGACACATATTCTGTCATGTTCCCATCTGATGAAAATTATCTAAGCCGCCCTTGATACCAGGCTCCTGACAGAAACCCCACCTCAGCTTCTCTGTGTCCTTCCTAGCAAAGCTTATCCAGAATGAGTCTGTGTCCCCGGAATCCTCCCTTCCCCACATGTTCCTGTCAGGATCTGCTCCCATGAGCAGTGGCACTGTCCACTGCCAGGGTGGCCTGAGCCTCAGAGCTGCACAGCTGGACTTTGCTTCTCGTGCGTCTCAGCAGCAGCTTCTCTCACCCATCTTGGAACACTAGTTGCATGAATGTCATTGCAGTCCTTTCATGGCTTGCTCCACCTTTGTCCACTGCCATCCTTCTGAAAATCCAAGACACTGTGCCTTCCCGTACCTCTGCGTGCTGTCTGCCCTAGCGTCTCACCCAGGCCAGGGGTTGTTACACTATCTTTCTTTCTTGTGATGTCCCCCAGCATCAGTCTCAGGTGTTAAGCCACAAATGTACCCAGTCCCCAGTATCCTAGACTTCTCCCAGATGTCTGTTCAGGTGTCTCACACCTAACCATCATGTTCCCTGCTTGGACATGTAGGGGTGGCTCACACTCCAAGTTAGGACAAAGCAAGAGGACTTTGCTGCCCACACGTGTTTCTGGCCCACAGTGTTCTCCTCTCATCACAAATAGTTATGAAGCTCTGGAGGGACTGAGTTGATCTGATTCATGGAAGTGTGAATCACTGATTATCTGTGAAGCAGATTGTGTAAGCTAAAAGGAATGTCCCTCTGTCCACTTTCTCCTAAGTGGTTCTCCATGGGTCCGTGGCTCCCAGTTACTGGTGTAGGAGGAGGCAGGAGCCCAGCACCCAGAAATCCCGGTTGGGAAGCTGTTCTTGACCTGAAGAAGGGAAGTTTATGTATTCGGAGCAAATTTAAAGTAGAAAAAACAGGAAAGAAGAGTAGAGTTGAGAAATTTTCAAGAAACTAGTGATATTTTTCCCCAATTTTAACTTCCTCATTCAGAAGCCTGATCTTGATGATTCTGATTTTTTAAATGTATTTCACATTCTTCTAATTCCTGACTCTAGAATGTAAAGTGGAGTTTGATTACTAGAAATCTAACAGCATTTATAGACTCTCCTCGCAGCACTGTGACTCACACATGTGATGACAGATAGTGGAATTAAAACCTCTTAAAGAAAGTAGAAATCTCTCAAAACAACATTTAAAGGAAACAAAACAGATTATGGTGCATATACACATCCTAATAGATGGGTGGCATTTTGATATGTTTCAAATCTAATCTGGTGTCTTGAGAAGTTTTCATACTTTATCCAAGTTAGTAGTCACATCTCTTGCAAGGGAAAATTATTATTATCCCAAAGAAAAGCTCAAAAATTAGGAAGAAAACCAATCTCAATGAGGTTTCCAGGGCACTTCTGGGGCCCAGTTACTGGAAGTGTGGCTGAACAAGCAAATTTGGCCCACCCTTACAACAGTGCTGCTGGGCTTCCCTGCTGGCCTCCAAATCGGAGATGAGGCCACCCAGGCCTCAGCGAGAAGCACTCCAGAGAGGCTAGTCCTGGATCCCTGTCCTGAGCAGACTGGCCATGGGGGAGCTCTCCCCACTGGGAGCAGGCATAGTTTCTAAGTGTTTCTCCGGAACCTCTGGACCTTAGAAAGCTCTGCTCAGCAACCATCGTGGGTGGGTACCAGTCTGACATCTTACCATCCTCACCACCATATCCACCAGCTCTGTGCCTTTGCCGCTTCTGCTACTTCCTGGTTCCAGGTACAATTTTGTTCAAAGACAAAGAGGATGACCATGTCCAAGCCCTTAGCCCATGAGCCTGTGACCAGCGTCCTGTCTGATGAGCATGGCTGGGCTCCTTGAGCATGGAGCACGCTAACTGGAGTAGGTGTGGGTACCTGGTAGCCTCTGCAGACATGGCTGGGGTGAGACTGCACAATGGAGGTGAGGGGAAACAGCTTCATTCTCTTCCCCTGAACACTGTTCAGTCCCTTCCTAGCTGATGAAAGAGATACTGCTACTTTAAATAACTTCCTCAAAATTCTACTTTGGTTGCTCAGGGATTTCTGGGAGAAACTTGGATACTGAATGCAGATTTAGGCCAAATGAATGGGCAGGAAAATGATGGTCCAGCAGACCAGGCACCTGCATCACAGGAGACCTGGGAGAGTACACACCTGCCCACTGCACATGCCAGAGTGATAGGTCAGGTTAGACCAGAAACGGTCAGTACAGAGGGACTTCTTCCCACAATGAGCATCCCAGAAAGAGAAGGCTGCAGCTGTTGACAGGGTGACAAGCAGCTCCGCTCTTCTTGCCAGGTACTTTGTTGTGTCCAGGGGGCTCATGAGAGACAGGCTGGTGGGGAGGCTTTGGGTCAGCACGTGTCAGGATACAGACAGGTAAGAGGACTGCTGCTGGCAGTGAGACACACAGGGAGCCCATTGCCCACAGTGCCAGGGAGGTGGCGACACATGAGTGCCACTGAGGCTTATCTCAACAAAGTCATAGGTTGTTTACGGATAGTTTTGCTTTTAAATAAAGACCAAATATGCTAAAACATGCATATACCTACTCAGCTGGAGGTGACATAAGCCAGTTTAACTTTTAAAAAACAGTATGAGCTGA